AATTATAGTGGCCATAAGCCAGTCAAGTGTCAGAAGACATCAGGTTGTCAAGGCGTTAGAAACAGCAATCAAGAAGGATAGGAGGAGCAATTCTAGTGGTGTACGCTAATTAGCTGCCAATGGAGTCGGGGGTCAGGAACAGCAATTAGTGTGGAACCTTGTCTCCATGGTAGAAGGTCCTGGTAACCCTGCCTCCTCTTCCGGCTGGTTCGTCGTAGGTTCCTCTTCGCTTGCCATTCTAACGTTCGGTTTGGCCTAGTTTTGTCCTTTACCCGCATAATGGCGCATGACTTTGTAGGCCGCGGGCAGGTCCAGATGCCTATTGACAGAGTTGGCATCTGAGTACCATGCCTCAAAAGTCAGCCTTTCGGCTTTTGATTGGCCTATGGCCACTTTTATTACCTTCCTCTTGGTTACTGCTTCTCATCTCTGAAGATGGACTCCTGTAAGAGTTTGAAAGCTCAGGACAATAAATCAATGGATCTGGTGCTCAACACTTCTTCTTCTTCGTGTTTATGTGACTACCTGGAGGGCGAACCTTGTCATTCATTCGTAAATTCCACTGTCTCCGGAAAGGCTTCATTTGTTCAAATAGAAGCTTGGAAATGGCTTGTCCCTTTCAAAAAAGACGATTTCTATATGATAGATACTCGCGCTCTGGCTTCGATGAGGGTAGTAACAATCTTAATTAACACAGGTTCCCGTAAAACCATTCGAGGAATAGTCAGCGATCTAGAGCGTGGTAAGTCAACAATAGCTCATTATCTGCAACCGCAACGGAAGATCAAAAAATCTCGCTTCTTGGGTTCCGTATGCCATTAGTATGGACACCAAGAGTCAGTATGCAAATGTTTCTGTCTCATTACTGGTCTGAAATCGCTGCGCCCTTCAATGACGTAAACCGATTTTGAAGCTTCCTTGTTCTGCCAATGTAAAAGGCGCAATTGCAAGGTGGTTGGCAGAAAAGCTGAAACCGATTCAGCAACAAATAGCACCACACAAAATACGGTACACCTTTAAATTTGTTGAGTCCATTGGAAAGACAAATATCAATGGGTAAACGATGTTATCCTTAGATGTCGCGTCCCTCTTCACTAACATTCCCCTCACAGAAACCATATAATTTTTGTGTAACGAGATTGTTAAACGGGATTTTCCAATCGACCTGCCGATCAGAGACCTCAAGGAATTACTCTTCCGCTGCACCATAACCATGCAATTCAGCTTTAATAGCCAATTTTACCGCTAAGTCGATTGTGTAGAGATGGGATCACCGCTTGAACCTCTATAAGCTGATGCCTTCATGGGCAAACTGTAGAACAACCAATTTTCCCCATTTATAAAGTATCTCCCTTCCTATGCTAGATACGTGGATGATATATTTGTAAAAGCAAATGGAAGACTTGATTTGAACACTTTCTTAGGTAAGGTGAATCAAGTGCACTCAGAGTTAACCTTCACTTTGGAATAAGGGGACAGACAAGTATCTCCCCTTTCTGGACGTTCTCCTTAGTAGAAGGTTTGATGCAACAATAAGTAAAAGTGTATTTTGCAAGATAATCCGGACGGGGAAATGCACAAATTGATTTCGTTATGATTAACTCAGTAA